ATTTCACTAAGTAGTTTCCCTCTGTCTCTCCATCTCTATCTCTGTCTAAATAATAGCTTTATTGAGACGAGTCACCAATCATAAAATTCACCCTTTTCAAGTGTAGAATTCAATTGGTTTTCAATATATCCATTGAGTTGTATATATAATTTCTCTTTCTGATAGGTTAAGAAGGAACAAATTATAAATCATTTATATGAAAGCATGATTTCAGATATATTGACTTTTAAATTTGTCTACTTGCCATGTTTGCTTGTTATATTTTTTCTTTCCTGTCTTTGATTGGATTAATTGGCTTTGCTATGTTTCATTTTTCTTTTGCATAATGTGTAAGTCACATACCCAAGTTCTGGTCACCAAGACGTTGCCCTTAAATTTTCATGAAGTGTTTAAGTTCGTATTTTGTGGTTTGTTTATAGTGGAATAGTAATGTTAATCCCTTCCTTCATAAAATAAACATTTTGAATATAATTTTTGTTGTCCTCACTCCTGCCATGTTGACACCAGGAAATATTTTAGTTTTGTGCTGTCATTTGTGTTTTAGAATTATGTGCATTTCAATTATTTTGGCTCACTGTTATATTTGTGGCATACCATATAGCCACATATCCTCTTTTGAAGTTCCTTTTTAAATTTTTCTACAATATACACTAGTAGTTCAGAGAGGATCTGAGAGGCAGATTTTCTGATTGTTCATGTATTAGAACGTACCTTCCCTTTTTACTCGCTTGACTGGTAGTTGGACTGAAAGCAGAATTACAAATTCAAAATATGACTTAAGCCTCTTCAGAATTTTTCCAGTGTTCACAGTGTCAAAGTCTGATGATGATGGTCTCTCATTCTTTTATAGATTATCTGATGTTTTTATGCTCTATGGAAACTTACAGGTTGTCTGGTTTAATTCATTCAACAATTAATTACTGAGAAACAGTTATGTACAAAATACTATTCTGGATGTTGGTGGAAAGAACTGGAACAAAACAAGATTTCTTGTCCTCAACTTGCTCACATTCTCATGGAGGGAGAAACAGGCCAAACAAACAAGTAAATCATATGGTATCTGATTAGCATGTGCTGTGGGAATAGGAAATTGAGAAGGAGGATGAAGGTACTCAAGAAGTGAGCTGTAGCCAGGGGCATAAAAGAGATGAGTGAGGGAACAAACTGTGCACATAACCAAGGAAAGAGCAGTTTTGAAGAAAGAACTTCATGTGCAAAGCCTCTGAGGTCAGGGCATGCCAGTGATGTTTGAGGGAAAGCAAGAAGTTACCGTGTTATGCTAGCATAAATTAGTGAAAATCAAAATTGCAAGGGGGGAGATCAAAGACATAGAGGAGATTGAGGAGAAGGACTTAAATCGCATACAGCTGTGTTGACTGGACTCTGAGTAAGATGTCAAGCCATTGGATGACTGAGTGAAGAAGAATGACATCTGATTTAGCTTTTGAAGATACCTCTGGCACTAGAGCTGGGAATAGTCAATAGGAGAGACAGGACTAGAAGAAAGGAGAATTCATGAATTTGCTGTAGTAATCTCAGCCAGAGAGGATGTGACTTGAATCACAGTCAAAACAAGGTAAGTGTGGGAAGTAGACCAGCTCTAGATTTATTTTATTTTTGTAGTATTTTAATTTAGGAATACTTTCACACAGAATGTTTACAGAAGTGTTATAAGAATGGTATAAAGACCTCCAATGTATGCTTTGCCCTAATTCCCTAATTATATATATGTATTTTTTACAACTTTGACTTTTCACTTTTTAAATAAGCCTATTTTAATATCTTGGATTGCATTGAAAATGAACTTGAAGACAGACTGCTTTTATCCTTATGGTATATAGTGTATGTTTCTTAAAAACAAGATGTTCTTTCACATAGCCACATACAGGGGTCAAGTTTAGGAAAATAACACTGATGCAGTTCTGTCACTTAAAATATAGGCTTTGTTCATATTCTGCCAATTCTGCCAGTAATATCCTTTACAGAAAAGAATCTGACCCAGAGTTCTCACACAGATTCTTCTGAAAGACAGAGATAGGATCTGCTACAGGAGTGGAGGTGAACTTGGGGGAAACAAGAAATGAGACATGACTGTCAGGGCAATCAACTGGAAAATAGAGCTTCTAGAACCTGACAGAGACCTTTGCAAGGGGCACCTTTATGTTTCTGTCTGGTGTAGGGGCTGGTGCTTAGCTTTGGTAATGCTTTTCTAAGTCGGGAATGCTTATTAGCATCAGGCATTGACACAGATGTAAAGGTTTGTTCCTTGTGAGTTTGTCTTGTGTCTAAGTAAGAGTCTTTTCTATTATTTCCTCTCAGTGCTGGGTGGAACCTATCAACATAACATTTTACCTTTTTTATGCATAGGAATGTTCTTGATTATCTTTCTGAACATTCCATTCCATTCCTCTGCCTCCACAAGATATCAAAACTTGTAGTTTTTGTTTCTTACCTTTTACTTTAAGTCATCTTCCTGTTGTTATTATTCCATCTCTGAAAATCTCTTGGAATATTTTCATAAGGCCATTATCAAATATTAAGTGTTTTAACATTAAGTAGTAATATTTTCATTTCAATAACCACTCTGTGTCTTGCCCCACATTGTCTTTTTCCTAAGGGCATTTAAGATTACATTTTTCTCCTCTTTGCCTTTTTAGCAAACTAATTATTCTGATTTTTTTTTTGCTTGAGATATTGTAGGTGTCTATCTAATAAGACATTTGATTGCTGAAAATATTCAAAGATATTTCTTGTCCTTTTGTGTCTATATCGTCTCCATTTGCTGATGGATGCGGCTGTAGCAACCATCTCCCTCTCCAACCTGTCTTCAATTTGTGTTTAATTTTGCATCAAATTCTCCTGATGTCAACTTGCCTTATACCATTTAGGCCTGATCAACTTAATAGCCAGCCAATGATATCACATTTATTTTTGGCCTTACCCTCTCCAACTCTTTATTTTGTTGTCAAAGTAAGCTTTTGAAATTGAAATATTAATATACCACTTGACATAATTCTTTGCATCTCATAATTTTCAGGATAAATTAAAGAACCCTTGGTAAGGCAACATAGGGTGTACTTGTTATGCCTCATCTACAGATATCAGCTGTGTTCTACTCATTTACCTTCTTACTCAGGCACATTAGACTATTGGTAATTCCCTGAGCATGTATCTAAGCCCTTGCTCAGATGCTTGTCATCTCCTGCAGTGCTTTACTTCCTCCTTTCCACTTTCAATAATTCAGTGCATCCTTCAAGATCCTGTACAGAGAGTAGGGAAGTAACTGAGTGGTAGAGCACTTGCTTAGCAGGTGTAACTCCCTGGATTCAATCCCCAGTACTGAAAGAAATTTTTAAAAATTCCAGTACATGTTACATATCTGCATCCAATCATTTAATTCATTTTGGTGGTTTTACTATAGACTACTTTAACTGTTCCCCTTCTTAATTTGTAGCAATTTTTATGTGACTTTAGTAATTCCTATAAATAATTCATGTAGCTCTTTTTTCCTTACTAAACAGGGGATTTATTTGCAGGGGATTTAATGTATTTTATTCATTTCAGATTCTTCTTTACCTGCTGCACAATAAACACTTAAAGTGATATTATTTGTTTAATAAATGAAGTGACCAATCCTAAAGTAGATTGCAGTTGCTCACCTGTTGAGAAGTACAGAGAGATCCTGATAACTGAAGTGTACACACTCATAAGAATGCAAATTGCTGTCTTGTTTTGTAGGAGTCTGCACATATTGTAGAACTCTCATTTTGTAGACTGAGGTTGGTTCTACCATAGATTCTTTATTACAGAGCCAGAGAAACCACTTCCATGTCTCACTTTGGACCTTTGGGCAGACCCTGGTGCACACGTAATAACTGTCAAGGCCCACGCGGGGCTGTATGCAAGGCCTAGGACAGGAACTGGTAAGACAGAAAGAAAGCACCACCAGCCAGCCTTAGAAAAATCCAAAGAGCCCTCTTGTGTGTGGACTGAGATTAGAGAAAATAAGAAATCATATAAGCAGGAGGGGAGAGTCCTGATGCATCAGTGGGGTAAGAGGTAACAAAAGCCAGTGAGCCCTGGTCTTGTGAGAGCCTAAGTAGGGGATACAATGCAGACAGTGGGAGACCATTAAAGCTTTAAAGAAGAGAACTGAAGTAAATTCAGGATGCAATTTGGACACCGGGCTAGGTGCCTAGCTGTGCATTTAGAATGCAGAGAGAGAAGAGACAACTAGAAGTGTAAAAGAGGATATTCCAAGTACATCTAGGGGGCAGGACCAGGATGAAGGAAGGGAGGTGTGAGAAGTGTGTTTCGCTATGTAGACTAAAGCCAGATTGCAAAGAGATAAAATGATGTGGTTCCAAGTGGGAGAATGAAAGAGGACAGGGGAAAACTGGAGTTTGTGGCCAGACTTCATGCTGGCCTTCTGGTGTCATTCATGGAGACAGAGAAAGGATCCTTTTCCAGGAGAAGGTGACCCAAGGACAGCCAGAGAGGCAACCACACTACCTTGGGAGAGATTGCCTGGGGTCTACAGTTTATGCCTGGACCATGACATCAGGGGGTGATCTAGATTCACATGACACCATCACAGGAAGGTTTATTGGCTCAAGGAGTTTTTACATCATCAGTTCACCCGTTTGGTGAACAACTTGTGACCACAATAAAAAAAAAAGTCTAATGTTGAAGTGAATTTAGAGTAATGAACAAGCTCACAAATGTCTAAGTATAGACTTAAAATAGAGGAATTAAAGAAAGTGCAGGAAGAAATGAGAACATACATAAATCATTTCAAGAAAGCAGCTGCGAACATCTATGGAGCCCACCCAGGCCTCTCAAAGGAAATGGAATCTGAGTATATTCTTCAAGCATATGTAAGAGCATTGGAAGAGAACAGACCATTTTAGGAAGAGAAAATACAATAAAGATATATGGATTAGATATCGAAATAACGCCAACAAATCCATGTTGTCAGTGTTGTTGTTTTTTAATTCCAGGTTTCTCATAGATCGCTTCCATTGAAACAAAAAAGGACAGCACTTTTCTTCTTTCAGGTCTTACACGAGCACCTGCCCTGTGGGCCACCTATTCTATTAGACAACTAACTATGTAAGTAACCAAGATATTTGTATCATTTCCTGTTGTAAAGATCCAAGCCCAGGAAAACATCACAGAGTAGCACCAGTATTCTATTTAGGACACCAGAGCCTGCCTTGTTCTTCTTTATTGTATCCTTCTTCTTCCTTCTCCTATTCCTTTCCCTCTTTTATCTTTCTCTTTTTTCACTCTTTCTCCTCCTCCTTCCCTCTCTCATCATCCTGATGTCTTTTTCTCTCTTTCTTGTTTCATGAGTTTATTGAATTATTGCAGATATAATAGTTATCACCATATACTAGATTCTGGGCTGGTATACATTTTCTTCCTACAATATTTGGATGTGGAGTCTTTAAATAATAATTGGGTCTCAAACACACACTCTATCTTAGGTGCCTTTTAGGTTTGGTAGTTTTTTTTATTATTGCTATTGCTGACGATGTTTTGTTTTGTTTTCCTTTTCAAAGTATCTGTGCCTTCAGGCTCAGGGAAAATTGCAAAACTCTAGCTTCAGTTTTAAGAAATCTAAACACATATCATCTGAACTTGACATTCAGGAAAAGAAACAGAGCCTTTCATTTAATAAGACAGCATTTATTTTACTGATATTGGCAAAATCTGCATATACCACACTTCAAAGCCATCACCTCTATTTGTCCTTGAGCATGTGGCTGTGGGTACTGGCTCAGTTGTTCTAGGTCCCCAGATCCTGGCTGCAGAGTTTGTCTCTCAGGCCTGTCTGTTGCAAAGTCAGCCAGCCACCACTTTACAGTTCGCTGCATTCTCGGACAATGTGTCTTGTTCTCATTACCAAGCCATTATTCTGAAGTGAGACACTGAACACATTGCTAAGCAGCATTTCTTATTTTGTTGTGTGCTCAAATATTTTTTGTCATGAAGATATTTCCTCCCAAGGATTTTAAACTTGGAATGTCCTATTTTGTGCAGAAACTTGAAATTACTTCTATTCTTTGTGGGCATTCAAGTCTAACAGACACATAACTTAAGGGAGTGGGAAATCTTTGAAAATTTAGGTTCAAACAAATATGTTCACTTTAGTTGAATTGATGCTGCTATTAATTGCTACTGAAAGAAACCACTGTACAAAGAAATTTGAATTGTAAGACTAATAAGACAACACTAAAAACCAAAGTTAAGTGAGACTTGCCTGCAGATTTCAGTGCTTCAACTTCCAATTTGGATAATGCAGTTCTTTAATGTGATATTCAAAAATGATATTATTGGTCTCACATGCTTATTGGTCTTTGTAGATTGGAGAATAGGCTACTGTGAACATGTGTGATGGTCACTTCCCAGTTCTATTGGTGTGGCACTGGACAAGTTCAGTCGTGTACATGGAAGAGTGAGTTATCTCTTGGAGAAAGAAAAGAAAGAGCAGAGAGGGGCTGGAGATTTAGCTCAGTGGCAAAAGTGCCTGCCTGGCAAGCGCAAGGTCGTGAGTTTGGTTCCCGGTACTGGAGAAAAACCAAAAAAAAAAAAAAAAAAGAAAGAGCAGAGAAAGACTTCATGTCAACTTATTAAAAAGTCCCAGCAATCCCTAGAGACATATTCAATATGCAGTGATAGTTCTTGAATAAATGGATTATTTTTTTTTCTCCCTTGGAAAAAATTGGGCCCTAATCCTTATCTGACCGCACTTACTGCCTGTGATCTCAAAAGCTTTCATTTCTTTATTTTCTCCCTCCAATTGCCCTGTTCTACTCCTTGCTTGGCTTGCAAAATCTGGTGAACTGTCTTGGATGTAGAGTACTCACTGCATAGGATGAAGTTGTCTTAAAGAAAACAATGAAGTCTTCTGATAGGGGATTAATACCTAGAGTATATAAAGAACTCAAAACATTAATGCCCCCCAAACAAATACTGCAATCAACAAATGGGAAAACTTACTGAATTAGATACTTTTCAAAAGAAATACAAATGGCAATAAATATGTGAAAAAAATGTTCAACATCTTTAGTCACTAGGGAAATGCAAATGAAAACTACATTCAGATTTGCTCCTACCTCAGTCACAATTACTAACATCAAGATTACAAAAAACAGTTAATGCCAGCAAAGATACAGGGGGAAAAGGAACTCTCCTGTACTATCAGTGAAGGTGTGAACTACTAGAACAATCACCATTGAAATTCATATGAGATGCCTCAAAAAATTGAAACTAGAAATACTGTATGGCCCAGCTATAGCAATCATCGGTATCTTCCCAAAAGAATACAACAATACTGTAGTGATACATGCATATCCACATTTATAGCAGTGCAGTTCACAATAGCTGAGCAGTGGAAACAGCCTAGGTGCTTATCAATATATGAATGGATTAAGCAAATGTAGTACACATATACAGTGGAATATTATTCCACAATAAAGAGGAAGTAAATCATGTCATTTGTAGTTTGTGAATGGAACTGGAGTCCATTGTGTTATTTGCAATAAGTCAGCCTCAGAAAGTTAAGTTTTGTATGTTTTCCTTCCAATGGTCAATCAATTAATAAAAGTAGGAATGACAAGAAACTAAAGGTAGACTTTTAGAGATGAGGAAGGGATTGGAAGTGATGAGGAAAAGGAGAGGGGTACAGTGGGGATGAAATAAAATATGCAATATGCCCAAATGAATCTCTTTCTGTCATAGTAATACTCAACAATTAACAAGTGTGTTCAATTTTCACAAAAAGGAAGATAAGAATAAGTGCCTTGTAGAAAGTGGCCAAGAAGAGATTTCTTTTTAAAAGCGGTACACACTTCAGGCAGAACAAACTTTAAACATCTGTCTTGTTTGGTCATCGTGTTACCAAGTCCATTCAAATCCTGGCACCCTGGGAGTGATATGAAGGGAGTGTGCGCCCTCCACAGGCAGGCTGAGAGAGAGCAGGCGCAGTTTAGAGGTGCAGGGCACAGAATGGAAAAGCTGCAATTGGAGGTCAGGAGTCCTGAGCAATGTCCTGATTAACTGTGGGCAAAGCATAGCATAAAAACAGCAGAAGTGGCGGGCGATGTTCTGGATCCAGCCAGACAACATGGCAGCATCAGAACAACCTCTCAAAACCCACCGCAGGGCAGGTGTTCAAAGGCATGTGAGATCAGGGAGCTTGGCCATCAGGGTTAGTTTATAAGGAAGACGATGAGCTGGTACAGGTAACAAGCAACCAGGGGGTCACAGAAGTAGAATTGTGGCTAAGGATCAGAGTAACACACTTTGTCAGAACTGGGCAAGGCTAGGTTTGAAACAGTACATGGTCCTTGTAGACACTCTTGAGTTGTGCATAAATCCTTTCTGATTGGGAGAGGGTGGGTGGTTCCAAACTAAATCTTTTCTTTTCTTTTTTTTTTTTTTTTCTTCTTTTTTGGTCTTTTTGAGACAGGGTCTCACTATGCAGTTCAGGCTGTCCTTGAGCTCACTTGTGTAGCCTAGGCTGGTCTCGAACTTGCAACAATCCTCCTGACTCAGCCTCCCAAGCGCTGAGATTACAGGCACGCATCACCATGCCTGGCCCAGACTAAATCCTTTCTGATTGGGAGATGTTAGGTGGTTCCAGACTTGAGGTGGTGCTACAGCCCAAGGGAAGCAGCAAGAAGGAGTGTGGGAGTTGGGACTTAAGGAGAGCATGCTCTAGAAGGGAAATCAGACCGCAGAGTCAGGGTTAGGGGGAATATAGGCAGGGATTTCCTTGAGGAAAGCTCAATCATGAGGTTAGAAGAGTGGAATTTGAGTCAGTGGTTTGCTGGGGAGGGAGCCAAAGTGTGTCGGGTCAGCGGAGAAGCCTGAGCAGATGCCAGGTGGCGAGTCAAGAATGAGTAACAGGTCAGATTCTTAAGCTTGGTGAGCTCAATGGCCTGCAGCTGTGGCTAAGGCTGCTTTTATTTGCAGGTTTCCTGGCAAGGAATGTCACTGTAAACAGCTTGGGTCGTAGGATTGGGGATGGGAAATTGTTTCAGGCCCTGGGAATAATTGTGAAGTCACTATAATACATGGCACTTGTCCTAGCACATGGGCAAAGAACACTGGTGAGGAGAACCACAGAAAAGTGTGACTGTGATTGGTACCTCTGACGGCTGTTTTTCAGATATGTTGAACCATTTCTCTGTTCCTCTCAGAAAAGCAGGGAGTTGAGAACTTTTGTAGCCAAAAGAGGATATTTAAGCTATTCCTTGAAAAGTGTGTCCATTTCAGACTTTGGGTTTATTCATTATTTCACAGAGTAATCAATATTAGTTATTAATGATTGTGTTATATATTATTTTAAAATTTTGTATATGTAATCTGGGTCCAGCCAGACAAAATGGCATCATCAGAACAACCTCTAGAGATCCACCTCAGGGCAGGTGTTCAAAGGCAGGTGAGATCAAAATGATTCTATCAGATAGGTAGAGATTCCATCTTAGGTGAGGAAAATGTGGCTCATGGATATTAAGTAATTTTCTTATAGTAATACTGCAAAGAGCAGCAGAAGAGAGAATTGAAATAAAACACTGTGTTCTTGGATGGGCATTTAGTTATTCCTTCACTTAATATTGCAGGATCATTTTTCTGTGTGATATTGATATGGATACAAGTGTAGAAAAGATGTCGGGCGTGATGGTGCACACCTGTAATCCCAGCACTTGGAAGGCTGTGGCAGGAGGATCCTTGTGAGTTCAAGGCCAGCCTGAGCTACAAAGTGAGCTCAAGGCCAGCCTGAACTGCATAGTGAGACCTTGTTTCAAAAAAGATAAAAAAAAAAAAAAAAAAGGAACAAAAACATACAGTTTTGGTTCTCATAGAATTTATAATCTGAAGGTAGGGATAGAAAGGTGCCAGCACCCAGTACAATTTACACAAGTAAATATTTAATCACACACAGAATTCTGGGAGGGTTAGGCTGACCTGAGTTAGTACAGTGTGAAAGAAAGTTTCCCTAGGGCACTGGACATAGATTGAGGTCTGAAGGATGAGTAGATGGATAGATTATGGGGCTAGTGGGAAGTAATTGTTCTATGGCTCAAAGATAAAGAATCTGGGGCATTGAAGCACCTGGAATAAGAACACCGTAAGCAAGGTCAAGAGAACGAATGAGAGGAGGTTGTAGGTTGTGCCTGCTGGAAGCAGGAATTAGATAATGCACTTTAAAATTGACAAAATCCATTACTATAACTTACTCATTTCATAATGGAAAGTTTTTGAAAGTTGAGAAACTAATCTTTCCATGTTTAAAAGGATGTTACCTTTCTCTTCTGTTAAATTCAATTGATTTCAAGACTATATGAGCTTATTGCATTACTAAAACTTTAAAAATTGCAGTAGCTTCTGAATCTTCATGAGACAGAATGGTAATCAGCTTATCAGAGCTTTCACCCAGAACAATCTAAAAATCCAGGTAAAGTACATTATAGAAGCTATTTATTTGAAGACAGCAAAGTGTTACAGAGGCAATGAGCAAAGAGGCCAAGATTGCAGAGGACAGAAAAACTCAAACAGATGGGCTGAGACAAGTACCTGCTTTTATTGTAGTGGCATTTTCTAATTCAGGGCTGAAAATTTATGTTCTTCACCGGTGTATGAGAACTTTGTGGTGAATTCTGAGGTTTGGGAGGCAGATGATTAAAATTTTAAGCTTGAAAACTTTTGAAAAATACAGAAGAGTTATCACCAATTTATAAGTCAGAGATCAGAGGTCAGTTGAGATTTACCAGAAAAAGGGGTTAAGGTAATACTTGTAGCAGTAGTTACAAATAAAGAAGGCCTTAGGAGACCCAAAAGTATAGCCTTATTAGGACTATCAATGAGCCTTGACTACAAATAATCTGAATGTATTGAAGGAAAGGGTAACCCTTCTTTGAAGGAATAAAGCATCGTTTGGAAACTACATTTTAAAAAACCCTCAGAATATCGGCAACTTAGTAGTTAAGTACTAGGAATGCCAAAAGCTAAGATCATATTGTAGCAGCAAGGAGAAACACCTTAACGACATCCAGGATTTGCAGGCAGATTTATTTACGCTGACAGGCACTGATGGGGATCATTCACAAAATATCAGGCCCTGATCTCTGGTGGTCTAGGAATTATGTGGGATAAGCAAGCAGGAAGTACAGAAGCAGAATGGTTTGTCAATCAGGGATTGGTTCTTACAATAGACACCATAGTGACAGCTGTGCATCACAGTGACCAGCCATTTCTAAGGAACAAAAGTAACAGGAACTGTAACAAGGAGAACTATTACCTGGGCAACTAACAAACTGAAGTATACTGGCTGGGGGGATAGGGCATCTTCTGTTAAAATATAATAGAAAACTAAGAGAAAAAAATGTAGAAATACATCCACAAATACTACTGACAGGCCTTTTAAAGTAAATATGATTAATGATTTTAAGAAATTGGAGAAAAAGATAAAGTGTATGAGAAAATGCATAAGTAGGATTTATAAAGCAGAATAGTTATACATTCTAGAACTGAAAACACTTCCTATCTGGCATTATGGACTCTAGTTGGTGCTACAGCAGATTAGACACAACCAAAGATAAGCATATTGAATAATAATACTTGAAAATATCTAAAAGGCAGTACAGAGGTGAAAATGCATATAGAATTCAGCAAAAAGTAGAGATAAGTGGGGAATATCTAGCATGAATATAGTTGCACTGTGAGAGGAGGGATTAAGATAATACCATATTTGCAGGCATAGTGTGGAGAATTTCCTAGAAGTGGCTAAGGGAAATGTTTTAGTTACTTTTTCATTGCTAGAACAAAATAGTTGACACTCACAAGTTAAAGGAAGAAGGATTTATTTTAGCTCACAGATTGCAGAGGTTTCAGTCCATCGTTAGCTGGCTCCAAGGCAGGGTGGCATGGCCAGAGGCGTCACAGAGGAGAAACATTTCAGGGCAGGGCAGGCAGGAAGCAGGAAGCCTCTTTATGTCCTTTTATATTCAATCTAGGCTACAAGCCTGTTGGTTAGTGCCACCCAAACCCAGAGTGAGGCTTCCCATGACCCACATCCAGAACCACATTAAACCAGACAGTGTACTGATTCAGTTACAAAAATCCTTAATCCATATTCACACACCCTAGATTGAGCTAGCTCCAAAAAGCCCCACCTATGAGCTCATGAGGTTTTGGGGAGAACATCTAGATACAAGCCATAACAAACACCAACCCATAAATTTAAAAAAACATGAAGACCCGCTCTCAGCAGATTAAGCAGAAAAATTTAGGAATACACAAGCATAAAACTAAATGAAATCCAAAGAATATAAAAGTAAAATAATGCTTTAAAGAGCTAAAACAAAAAGAAATAGAATATTAATAAAAGCAGTAGCAGTAGTTTTTATGTCCTACAAGTTAAGATGAAATTAAAATAATTTTTAAAACATATGAGATGATAAAACCCAGAAATTTGTACTAAAAGAAATATTAAATTGAGTTTTTTAGCAGAGGAAACATTTTCCTGAATATAAAGATAGAAATGCAGGAAGAAATTAAAGAGCAAAGGATAAACACACTAAGTGGAAAATAGAAATGACTACAGTTCAAACATTAACTGTATAACACAATAATAATAACATGTAGGGTTTAAGTTATAAACAGAATTAAAATGCATGTAACAGTAAACTAGAGGGATGAAGTAAATGGAATGAAAATGTTCTGAATTCATAGCATTATAAGAGAAAGATAACAGTTATTTTTGTTTACAAAATACACATTTGAAAAGTGGGGGCTGGGGATTTAGCTCAGTGGTACAGTGCCTACCTGGCAAGTACAAGGTCGTGAGTTTCATTTTCGGTACCGGAAAAAAATAAAAAAAAATTAAAAAAAGAAAGAAAAGTAATAACCATAAATGCTACAAGGAAAAGGTTAGAAAAAAAATAAAGTATGAACACTAAACCTACAAGGGTTCAAGGTTAGAAAAAAAATAAAGTATGAACACTAACCCAACAAAGGTTCAAGTGCATCAAAAAAGTAGAGCTTAAGAAAGACTCATTATTAGAAATAACAAGGATTTCATACATTTCATAAAGAATATGTGTCATTTTATTATGTGTTTTATATTTAAAATACATCTTTTATAAACACTGTGTAGTTGATCCTGTTTATTTAATTAGGCAACGACAACTTCTGTCTTTCAATTGGTTGGCATATCATTTGCATTTGATATTTCTGGCTGAAGTTGTGTGTAGTAAGTTTTCTCAGTATCTGAAATCCAGATTCTACTGGGAGAGCGGCTTTCAATATGGATTAGCATAGGATGAGGAAGATAGCTTAGTGATAGAGCACTTGCCCATCATGCACAAGACCTGGGTTGGAGCCCCAGCACCACACACACACACACACACACACACACACACACACACAGAAATTCATTGTCTCCCTTCTGTTTCTGATGCAGAAATGTGTCCTTAGGACAGTCACAGTGATTCTCCATGATGCGCCATAAAGAGTTCAGCCTATGCGCATGTGGAGTGTGTTTGTGCACCTACATATGTACGTGCATGTGTGTGACTCTGGAAACCTTCTCTAGCTGACTTATTCTGTCAAGGATTCAGTTTCATCATCTAAATTCAGTAAAATAATACTTTACATCATCCATAGGACTCTCATAAAGATTAAATTAAATAAGACATATACCAGCAAGCGTGCAACAGAGCCCTGGCACATAAAAATTAACATATGTTTCTGATATCTGAAAGAGAGAGATTGTGGCAGTTTGCAGTAAACAGAAAATTTAAGTCAAGGAATATGCTCTTGGTTTTACTCTTTTTTTTTCAGAAGCCAATTGTACTAGGCCAGTAGCCAAAGACATGGTGAGCAGAACTCATGGTGACATATTCATTCATGACTCAGATGTGAGCTCAAGATAATTTCTGCTGGATGGAACTACTTTTCTACAGGAAAAATAAAAGGTAAGTAGGGAAAGTATATATTACATAAGGCAAGTGTATCATGAGGTAGAACCAATAAGAAAATACACAGTTACATGGTTCACAACTTTTGGAAACTGTATTACATGTTCATGAAAGCAGCGGCTATGTAGGATTAGGTTGTTGTTGTTATTATTATTTTTACAGAGCTGGGGATGGGACTCAGAGCCTCCTGAACGCCTGGCAGGTGCTCTACCATTGAGATACGTCCCTGATCCCCATTATTATTTATGAAAAACAGTTTTTATTTTGGTATAAGAATATGCAGAGAAATTCACCAATTTTAACTGTACAGTTAGATGGGCCTTGACAAATAACCACAATATTAACTCAATGTCACAAAAATTTTCCAGGCTTTAAAGCCAGTCCTTTCTCCCACAACACGGCCTCAAAGGCCGCAGGCTGCAGTGATCTGCTTTCCCTCTCTCATGTTAGTTTTGCCATTTCTAGAGAAAGAAATCATTTAATATAACTATATAACAAAACTTGTGACCGGAATCTTCTATGTAGTAATGCAACTTTTTATAAATTTCTATCCCTCTAGAAAGCATTTTAATTTTCCTTAATGGTTTCTCCCCTCTTGAGATTTCATTAGCACAGATATACCTGTGTGTCTGGTTTGTATTATAGGTGTGTGTTGCGTGTGCATTCTGACATAAATACAGTGAATATTTTAAATTTTTAAAAAATATTACAGTAAAAGATACTGTGTATGTTGTGCAAATTCTGCTATAAATAAAGTGAATATTTAAAGACTTTAAAAAACTATTACAGTAAAAGACACATTGCTATATATCCCTCTCAGTATACTCCCTCTTCTTTGGAGCACACTTGTCTCACCCTGTTTGCCACTTTCTGAAGCATTTCTGGAAGTCCTCTTTCGTGTATCTAGCTGCGCTGTTATGGCTGCCTTCATGTCCTGAATTGATTCAAAATGTTTACCTTTCTTCGTCATTTTGACTTTGGGCAAGAGCCGAAAGTCATTTTGTGCCAGATCTGGGAAATAAGGCAGATGAGTACACACCATCATGCTTTTACAAGCCTGCCTTTCCATTGGGTGGCACTCGGCGGCAGCATTCACCACATTTTTCACCATATCTCATGAGAACATTTGTGAAAGAGGATTAGACTTTTCCACTGTAACCCAGACCATGCTAGACATGTGAGGGCCATTGATCTTTACCTTAAAAGAGGTGAGAAGCCGTTGTAGGGATTTAAATAAGTGTGACATGCTTTATTTAATGAAATAAAAAGATTTATAAATATTTAATAATACATAATAAATTAGAATATTAAGTATGAGAGGCTGATTATTTGGAGAGTGGACATCTTAGGAGTTCAGGGAATAAATGACTTTTCAAGGCATTTAAAGGTAAGGGAGAGGAGAATTGAGAGACCTTCCACATTTTTAGTGGGGATCCGGGAAGAACTCTGCCCATACCCTTCTTTTTGATGAAACTATGACTATCATGAGAAGTTCAAATATAGCTTCCTATTGTTTGCTGCTGCCTTGATTTCACCGAGATTTTGCTGAAATTAACCAGTGTCCTATATTAATTCAGTGTGAATATTATTGAGTGATTTGTTAGCAAATTAGAAGAACTTGGAGAATGAGATCACACCTAGGGAAGTAGTTTTCATCACTCTATGCATCCATTCATCTTGCCATCCATCTTACAATGATTTCCAATAGATAATATGATCCTAGTACTTGTATTTCAACTCCAGATGGTTCTTGATCCACCGAAGATTTGTGCAAATTGCCTTCTTAGAGATGAAGAATAGGGTATTATTCCTATTAAAGATTACAAATCAGTAGGTTCTATGGATAAGGTTTGAGCGTGTGCTGGATAAGATTTCATGTGTTGCAATGTAACCCATATGGTGAGGTAGGGAGAGGGTAGAAATTTAACCCAACTATGGTGCTTAAAGTTGGAGTCTTTGGGAGGGGATTAGGATCAGGTAGTCCTTTGAGTAGAATCCTTACCACTAAGTCCTACTGGCTTCACTAAAAAGAGAGTGACCTGAAGAAAGCACTGACCTGCACAGACCCTTCTGGTCCCTCACTACGTGATGCTCTGAGCCACTCTGTGACTCAGCCAGCAAGAAGACCACCATCAAGTGCATCATATTGGCTTTGTACTTTTACAACTGTGAGCCAAGGTAAACTATTTTTATAAAGTTATCCAGTCTGTGATAGTTTGTAAATATCAACAGAAAATGGGTACATGAGGGCTTACTGTGTTTTAGGTCTAGCAGTATGGAAACAGGCAAAGGAAATACCTCTATTCGTGTGTGTGTGTGTGTGTGTGTGTGTGTGTGTGTGTGTGTGGTCCTGGGGATTCAACCCAGGGGCTTCCCAGTGAGCTACATCCCAACCCTCTTTTATTTTGAGACAGGGTCTCAATAAGTTGCTGAAGTGTCCAGTGCCCAGGCTGGCCTTGAACTTGGGATCCTCCTGCTTTACCTTCTCAGAGTGCTGGGATTACAGCATGTGCCACCACACTTGATTATAATCTTTGCACTCAAAGCACACAGTGTTGATATCATGTGAAAGTATAAATTACAAAGCCACGTGTCAGTACCTTGAGGGAACTCTGAACAAGTGTGGGAGCTCACTGGGTACACTGGTGCTTCTGGTCTTCCAGGCGATGTCTGCAGGATGGCTAGCAACAACATCTCCTGGAATTCCTCCTGCAGCCCTATCCTAACGCCCCACCTAACCAGGTTGTACTTTGTCGTGCTCATTGGAGGACTGATAGGCGTCATCTCCATCCTGTTCTTGCTCGTGAAGATGAATACCCGCTCTGTGACCACCACGGCTGTCATTAACCTGGTGGTGGTCCATGGGGTGTTCCTGCTGACTGTGCCTTTCCGCTTGTCCTACCTGATCCAGAAGACGTGGATGTTTGGCTTGACCTTCTGTAGACTTGTGAGTGCCATGTTGCACATCCACATGTACCTTACTTTCCTCTTTTACATGGTTATCCTGGTCATCCGGTACCTCATCTTCTTCAAGCGCAAGGACAAAGTGGAATTCTACAGGAAATTGCATGCTGTTGCCGCCAGTGCAGGCATGTGGCTTTTGGTGATTGTCATTGTTGTGCCTGTAGTCTTTTCCCATTATGGAAATAAGGAGGATTACAATGACCAACACTGTTTTAAATTCCATAAAGAACTTGTCTACCCTTATGTGCAAGTCATCAACTACATGATAGTCATCCTGGTCATAGCCACTGCAGTGATGCTCTTGGTCTTTCAAGTCTTCATCATTATGTCCATGATGCGGAAGCTCCACCACTCCTTCCTCTCCCACCAGGAGTTCTGGGCTCAGCTGAAGAACCTATTTTTCATAGGCATCATCCTTACTTGTTTTCTCCCCTACCAGTTCTTCAGGATCTACTACTTACATGTTGTGGCTCAATCCAAGGACTGTAATAACAACTTTGCATTTTACAATGAAATCTTCTTGAGTGTAACAGCAATTAGTTGTTGTGATTTGCTGCTCTTTGTTTTGGGGGGAAGCCATTGGTTTAAGCAGAAGATAATTGATGTGTGGAGTTGCCTGTTGTGCCATTAGCCATGAACTGTAGTACTGACTTCTCCACATTGGGAGGGAAAATGGGGAGGGAAGATAAGAATGATATTTCATCGCTTCCCATGCTTTCATTCAGCTGAACAGAAAGGCTAGAATATCAGAGCAATCTTCGCAATCTTAATTTGATCTTTATGGATGGACTCTGAAAGATGCCATTCATAGATCGGTCACATTGTTTTCCAGTATACAATGTCTGCTTGGTCCATCTAGGCAACATTGGTCTAATGGGTGCTATAGTTTCTTTAGCTCTCTAACTTTTGTGCCTTAAACTATGGTCTTTTCTTAGGCTTCCCACTGGACTTAGCTGTCTAGTTCTGTCACTCCACTTTCCCTTACTCAGGTTAGTGCTGGTCTAAGTAATCCAGATACAAATATGCGAACCCTAGTTGAAACAGACAAGATACCCTGTTCCACTAAGACCTTGGCAAAAAACAGATCAAGGGAGAGAATAGCAAGACTTTTTTAGATTATTATAACTTTGGTGAGGATCCAAGCATCTAAAACTTAAGAGAAATTCAATCCATGGATTTGTGTTATAATAAAATTTTCTAGATCTATCTTTTGAAAGATCAAGATTGAGGATTGAAAATTAGCTGCTCCATGTCAGCAATTATACTTTTCCTCCAAAAATCATCCATAGGTTTACAAAACACATCTCAGTACAGGTGAAACTGAAACTTTGAGGATGTTTCTGATCAATGGGATTCTGGGTATTAAAATAAATTCCCAAGGAAGGTGATTAAAATGTTTTCCTTTTTTTTTTTTTTTTTTGTCCTGGTTAAAGTCAACTTAGATTTTTTTTGAAGACAGAAAATTTGTACTGAAATTTTTGGGGCTCCATTCCAGTCTTAAAGATTTGCTTTTTAAAAATAAATGACAACTATACTGTTAATAAAAGAATTTATGTGAAATATAAGATGAGGTTGGATCAGAAAGATTTCCTGAATATTTGTGGAATGCACAAATCAATGTACTTGAAAGTAATGAAATCATAATTCTGTAAACTATGAAATAATTTGTGGTTTTCAAATTCTGAGCAATATTTTGCAATTTCATTAATAACATAATGTGCAGCATATTAAACTAATTTTACTTCAAGAATGTCTATTAATGGCTAGATTTGTAATTGTGTGATTTTTGTCTTTTGCTTTTGTTCCCCTCCTGTCCACATTCCTATTGGCCTAAAAGTTTGCTAATCTTAGTACTTTCCAGAGAACTGATCCTGTTTCATATTTAATGCACCAGAAAACCCAAAGAAATAAGCAATATAAATAGAAGAACCAAATAAATTAAGAGAACTTTTTTCCAAGCAGAGTATGTCTGAGATTTAAAGGTCTTTCTTAATTTATTATCACTCCATGAATCCACGAATTTTCAGAGGAGAAAGCTGTACCCCTGTGAGCTTCTCTGATCACTACAATTGATAATTTTGAATAGGAAAAAGTAGCAACAAACCGCCAACATGACTTGTTACCTAATTATTTCCTGCTTCAAATTTAATTTTTTTCCATATTTTTTTCTCTTTTAAGTTATGTTTATTTTATTTCTTACTTGTCTTTCCTTCCCATTTATTTTCTTCAGGTTTTTTTTCTGAGTTTAACCCATAAATCTATAAGGCAAGTAATAAGATCCACCAACATTTTAATAAAATGTATAACACCTATAAAACAGGTAAGAAAATAAAGACATATGGTGAAACATTTAAAGACATATTTTTGACAGTTCCATAAACTTTCTTTTCTTATATTACTGCTATGATAATATCTCCTAACATATAGATTATATTATGATTTCTTTCAGATTTTAGGTATGTTGGGGCCAGGCAATTATGTCTTTCTCTGTGTTGTAATGTTATAATGAAAGGCCTATAAGAAATATTACCTAAAATATAGAAATGCAACATTAAATAATATCAAATATCTCATCAGTATTTATAGAATAAATAGAAAGAAATACTTCAGGTGACCTGTTCTTTGTCTTTAAGTGCTATCAAAATGAATCTCATACAGGAATATGGGGAAAAATAGCCTCAACAGCTATCTTTAGATGTTGCATTATATGAGAAGACCACTAGCATTTGATGGTGGGGTCAGGTACTAGCTTCCTTGCACACAAAAATGTATTATTAGATCTTGCTCTGTGTTTGAAAGATCTGCCAGACATTCGTGAAGTGAAACATATGCTACTATTAATCAGAACAAATCATTAGATTTTATTCAGTTTGGGGGTATGGTTGAAATTTTGAAATTTCCATAAATGTATCTATTTTTGATATTTGTGGAGGAGGACCTGGGCAACTCTCCTTGAAGGAGGAACAGTTGTCTCCATTTTGGTTGAACCTGACCCTATTTCCACATATTGATGTGTACAGAGCTGGCTAGGACTTTTCCTTATCTCTAAAACTGGCCTTAAGCAATGCATATCCATCCAGCCAGCTGAGGTGCTGATGGTAGTCTTTGAAGATGGTGGGTGTGCTTCCCTGAACCCAGTTTTTCCCTTGTGTGAGCCAGGCTGAGGCAGCATGAAGAACCAGTGTTCCACGCTGTTGGCTGGGATCGAGCCTCCAGGTAGAAGTTATGACTTCCTGGGGCTTAAAAGATTACACATCGAGCTGCAGCGCTGACCCCAAAACAATAGATACTATCTCAGTTGTGTTATGCCAATTACTCTTGCTCCATATCCTTCTCTCTGCATACTACAGAGGTGATTTCAGGCCTCCTACCTAGCCCAGCTCACAGCACTCACCTATTTCCCACGATTCTCACAGTCACTCATTCTCAAGCCACTCCTTTCTTTGTGAATGAATAAAACCCGGGTTTGGCCTTGAGTTGAGGTCTTTGTTCCAGATAGCTATCATTGTGGCTGCACTTAGGACCCCTTGGCTCCCCATACCTGCAAATACACCTTAGTGTCTTTATTCTCATCATGGGTTGCACTGGAGTGGTAGATTGGAATTAACTCACTAGAATTCCAACAACTTTTTCAAATTGCATGTATAACTTCCTGGGCCTCGAGGAGGAACAGTAAGGATTCTCTCTAGGTAATTTTTTTTTTTCCCCTTACTGGGAATTGAACTCACAACCTCACACATGCCAGGCATGCGCTCCGCCACTAAGCTAAACCTCCAGTTCCCCCCTCTAGGTGTTGAGGTTTTTGTTCTGGTTCTTTCAGAATTTTACTAAGAGTGGTTCATTACATTGAGAAGTTGCATGGTTCATAGTAATACCATCTTTGATATTAACATACAACACAACCCAATCAGAAGCAAGAAGTTCAGCTGGAAATTATTTATATATAAGTGCCAACATCCAACCGCACCATTTTTTCCTTTAGTCATTATGCTGTAGCACACCCTGATGGACCTATTATTCTATTGATTGAGTATGGTGGTATATTCCTGTAATCTCAGCTGTCTGGAGGCTGAGGAGGGAGGATCATAAATTTCAGTTGCCCATCCCGGGCAACTTAGTGACTTAGCAAGACTGTGTCTGAAAATAAAGAATAAAAAGGGGCTAGAAATGTAGTTCAGTATGAAGACACTGGCTTCACTCCCTAGTACAGGAAAAACTTTTATTAATCACTTATACTACTGTTAGAACATTATATCAGCAATATATATACACACACACACACACACATAGAGTATTAGGAAAATTATGAAATTCATTTTAGAATTATAAAATTGTTCTATGAACTTTATTTTAGAACAGTAAAAATGCCAAAATAATAATATTTGTGACAAAAAGCTATGGGTCTGAGAGGATTGAAAACAGCTGAACCGACGCAGAAGCTGTTTAAAAGGGAGATTCACCAATTTTAACATCACGGACAGGAAAAGCACCTGATATTTTCAAACTGCTTACCTCAACTTGATTCAGTTCTAAATGATTTCTTTTGTGTATGCGGCAATTAAATACAATTTCTAAGAAAATGCGAAGAAAATCTGTATGTGTACTTTCTTTTTTAAACAATAAATAAAAGACATTCAGGGGCTGGGGATTTAGCTCAGCGGCAAAAGCGCCTGCCTGGCAAGCGCAAGGTCGTGAGTTCGGTTCCTGGTACCGGAGAAAAACCAAAAAAAAAAAAAAAAAAAAAAAAAAAAGACATTCTTGGAATGCCTTGCAATTCTCACATTGCCTCATCAGCAATATCCATCAGATTCGGAACCCAGAGATACTGATGGTCTTGGAGGTCCAGGCAGAAAGGCCGTGTCAGGCACCCATTAAAATGCACTCTTGGGCCAAGGATATAGCTCGGTGACCCAGTGCCTGCCTGGCAAGAGTGAAGTTGTGAGTTCGATTCCCAGGTACCAAAACCAAAAAAGTATGTACTCCTCTCACCTGTTTTCATTTCTTAACTGTCTTCTGAAAACATCATTGGGTCCGCACCTTCATCCTCAACTTTATACAAAATAGGGTGGAAAGGACTCTGTACATCTAGTGAAACGAGCTTTGTGCGGCTTGATGCAAACAGTGTAGCAAATCCTTCCTTCCTGCCATCCAGTATCCTCCGCCGTGGGGTTACAGCTAAAACGCATTACAGCGATCCGTGCATACCCAAGCAAATGGCAGCGCAATTCTTACTAGGTGACTCCTGCAAGTAGTCTGCATGTCCACTGACAGATGGGTGGATAAAGAAAACGTAGTAACCGTACATTCTGGGGTACTACTGGTGTACAAAGAAAGAGAAATCTGAGACATTTGTAGGAAACTGGATACATATGGAAAATGTAATGTTCAGCCAAATAAATCAGACACACAAGCTTAAATACATATGGTATCTCTCATTTCAGCAAGGCACAGTACAAACAAAGCAAAATAAAGGAGTGATAGAAGGGAACGGGGAGATAGCTCTTTGGTGAATAGGAAGGGGTCCAGAAAAATTGAGAGCCAGGCGGGAAAGGTAAAGGGAAAAGATTTAAGATGTACCACATACATGTACCAAATATCCACAAAGAATGTAAATGTGTGTTCTAAATGTAAATTTTAAAAAGTAAGAATGAAAATGGGCACAAGAGAATTAGAATTGGAGGGAGGGAGGTGAATGGGGAAAGGAAGGGGATTAAAAAAATCAAGATGCATTATATACATGTACTGACTCCCTAAGATGAAGGTAAACTTCATGTACAGTAAGCGTGTACTAATAAAATTTTTGAAAAATGCAAAATGCCGGTCAGAGTGCTGAAAAGAAAACCTGCATTCCAGGGCTGGGAGCGTCACTCAGCGGTGCAGCGCTGGTCTAGCACAGCTGAGGCCCTGGGTTTGATGGCCAGCACTCAAAAAACTGCATTCCTGGGTTGCACAGCAATGATGGTGCTTGAAAAGGAGAGCACCAGCCCTGTCCATTCCCAGCCATTAGCTTTTGGGTGTGCGGTCAATGGCAGGAACATCTACGATGTCATAGCTTGGATTGGATAGATTTTGCCAACTTGCCTCTAATAAGATGAGGCTTAGGACAGGGACTCCCCTACCTTTTGGGACTGGTAGGAACATGCAAATCTCCAGTCATGGGGCTGACTGTGGCGTTTTGGAAGCAGTTGCCAGTGAGAGTTCTATGTAAAGGGGCACAGGGTTCATGGCTCTGCTTTGCTAATGCCAAGAAAGCTCAGCCTGGAGAGGGTATCAGAGACCAGGGGAGAGTGCAGAACCAGCAGGAGCAGCTGGGGAAATGAGACCCAGGCTGAGAAACTCTAGTTGAGGGCAGGTGAGCTTGGGTGAGTTTGCACAGGAGATCAGAACAAAGGGGAGACAGCTCAGGAGGCAAATGGGGTGATGGGATGGTATTCAAGGAAAACAGTTTTGAACGGCAGATAAAAGGATGCTGGAGACCATTCTTTGCTTTGTGTAGGATTTTCCCAGTGTTTTATGGCATGAACAATAAGTGGCCCTGACCTTTTATCATTAGTCTGGAGCAGAGACCTTACAGAAAGCATGGCATGGGTACACAGCTACAGCCATAGGCTGCCTGACCGGTTTTGGACAATGGTTTGGACAATGGCTTTCAGTTCATCTCCAATCAAGTAAGAAAGCAGCACTTGGAGTTTAGAAGAAGCACAGTGAAGAGTCTCCCTTTTGTTACCAGGAGAATATTATCTTCAGCGTCCAGAGCAGA